TAATATTTTTTTAAAAATATATCTTCATTCTGCTTATCATCTTTAAACTGTGGCACCCTCTATAGGGCAAGAAATATTACTATTACCATGAGTTGGAGCTTTGGGATAAGAGATCCCCTGGAGAGAATATATTTAAGCGTCTCAATTTGTCAAGAGAGCTGATGGAGCCCAAGGACTATGATCAGTTTTGCAGGGTAGGAGCTGTCTTTGACTAGAAACATCTTAACTTCCCTGAGATGGTGTCCACATCAAGAATTCAGAGAGATGGAAAGACCTGAGTCCTTGGTGAGCTGCTGTATCATCCAACTCTATGTTCCATTTACTGCTCAACTTCTAATTAGGTGAGCAAATAAATTCCCTTATCACTAATTTATTTCCTCATTGATTATTTGTAGTTCAGATACCCTGACTGGCATCCCACAGCCCTCCACAGAGCCTGGACCCGATGGCAGCACCCTTAACACTAGGCCTCTGGCGGATTCAACAGTTGCCAGGAGCTGGTGTTCTAGCAAAAGCCTTTCTGTTACCTTTGATAATGTCAAGTCACCTTTTGTGTAGCTGAAATTAAACCCATCTTAAGGGCAAGGTAAGGAGCTTCCCTTTTAAACTTTTAATGACTTTTGAAGAATATTGCTGATCACTCAGCCACAGATCACACAGCTTTATGTAAGTTTCTGCCACCCACTAAGAAATCATATCTGGCAGCGACAGCTCAAGATAGGGGGCAATCAGGGAAGTTGGAGTCTGTTGCTTAAGACACATGTCTTGCTTTTCTGCCATGTACCACATAAAGGGACTTATGGGGGATACCAACGCAGTACAATAAGGTTCCAGGCTGTAAACAGCTGGAGGAAGAGAACTGATATGAATTCTGGGCCACAAAATTATTTCATATTCCACAATAAAGGCATTTTTAAAACTTTTTATTGTAGTGTAATGAATAATATATGCATGGCAAAGTGCACAAATCTCAAATGTGCAGCTCAATGAATTTTTAAAAAGTGAATACACCCATGCACTCAGCATCCAGATTAAGAAACCGAACATTAAGAGGCCTCAGACAGTTCCTTCATTCTCCTTCTTAGCCAACAACTCCTTCCCACTTGAAAATAACCGCTATTCTGACATCTGTCACCATAGATTAGCTTTGCCTGATTTGAACTCTGTATGATTGAAATCATACTTTTGTGCCTGGCTTCTTTTCCTTCCCGTTATGTCTGTGAGATTCATTCATGCTGTTGTTTGGGGTGTAGTGCATTCTCTTTGTTATTCCAGTATTTTGTTACATGACCACAATGTCATTTATTTACCCCTTCATCTGTTAATGGACTTTAGGTTGTTTCCACATTCAGGCTACTACAAATAATGGCGCTAGCAATATTGAAATATTCACGCAAGATAAAAGAAAACATGTTTACACAAAAACTTGTATGAGAATGTTTACCGTAGCTATATACCTAATAATCCCAAACTTGAAATAACTCAAACATCCATCAAGATGAACTCATGAGCAAGGCGTGCTGGTACATGCCTGTCATTCTAGTACTCAGAAGGCTGAGGCAGGAGGATTGTGAGTTCAAGGCCCACTGGGACTACACAGTAAGACACTATCTCAAAACAAATGATGAATGGACAAATACAATGAGGTATATCCATACAATGAATACCATTCCTCAATAAAATACACTGTATTGAACTGAAGAAGCTAGTTATAAAAGATAGGGTGTGACTCAATTTACATCAAATTCTAGAACAGGCAAAACTAAATTTTAGTGCCATAATGCAGAGCAGTGGTTTCCTGAGATACATACTGCAAGAGCAGAGAGGAGACCGACCACAAAAGGACATGAGGGGATTTTTCAGGATGATATCTTGATTTTGGTGCTGGTTGTACTGATATATACATGTGCTAAACATGTCTAAGTGCACTTGTAAAACAAGTGCATTTTATTGTACATGTTGTAGTCCATGAAAAAAAGTAGTCTTTCCAGTTTGTAGTCTGTAGTGGTTTTTCATTGTGAATTCCATTTTCATCTTCTTGATGACTATGTTGAGACTTTTTCAAACACTTACTGGCTACTTGGATGTTCTGTTAGTGGTTCTCCAGAGAAGCACATCTAATCTGATGTTTATAAAAAGAGACAGGATTATGAGGAAATGACTCACACTGTTATGCAAGTGCTAAGATCTGCAGTCAGTGTTCAGGAGACCTGGGAGAGCCCACCTGGTTGTTCCTGTCCCAGTCCAGCAGGCCAGAGACCCAGGCAGAACCACTGTCTCAGTGTGAGTGAGAAGGCAGGAGAAAGCACAGTTCCAATCTGAAGCAGGTAGAAGGAATGGTGTATTTTTCAGCCTTTCTTTTCTTTTTTTTTTTCTGGGGTTGGGGGACCAGGGATCGAACTTGGGACCTTCCGCTTGTGAGGCAGGCAGTGGAACCACTGAGATAAATCTCCATCCCTCAGCCTTTATTTTCTATTCAAGCCTTCAGTTGATTAGATGAGGCCCACCCACATTAGGGAGGCAAAAATGTGCTTTACTCAGTCTAATGATTCAAATGTTAAATTCACCCAGAAATGCCTTCAATGACAGGCTAAGAATGATGTTCGATTAAATACTTAGGCAACATGGTTAAATTGATACATAAAACTAACTTTCACAGATACCCTCTTTAGTGAAATACTTGTTCAAGTCTTGCTTATTTCTAAACGGGTTATCTTTTTCTTCTTAATTTATAGGGGCTATTCATATATTCTAGTTATGAGTTTTAGATACATTTATTGCAAATTTAAACCAGTGGCTGTGTTTTTATTTTCTTAATAACAGAGGATTTTTCTTCTCTTTTTTTGTTTGTTTGTTTGTTTGTACTGGGGATTGAACTCAGGACCTTGCGATTGTGCAGCAGGCAGCAACACCACTGAGCTAAATCCCTGGCCCAGGATTTGTCTTTTCATTATGGTTGTTATGGCTCATGTCTAGAGGTCCCCTCAAAGCCTCTTGCAGTCATAGGTGGGGCTTTTTCAGAGTTGGCTGAATCTAGACTGTGTGATTGATTCATGGTGCAATGCTGGCATTAAGGAGCTAGGATTAAGTGGGGGATGGATTACTAAATCAGTCCACTGACTGGTTTGGCACCACCCTAATCCAGGTAGCCAATGTAATATAAGGGACAGAAAGAGGCTTGCCTTGTTCCTTGATTGCTTTGCTATCTTCTATCTGCCATGAACTGTTTCTCCTCTGAAATGTCATCCTGCCTTGGACCCAGCTGATGACGAACTGAAACATCTACAAACTGTGTGAAAAAAACCTTTCCCCCTTTAATACTGGGCATTGGGCATTTTGTCTCAGCAATGAGAAAAGTAACTAAGACAATGGTTAATGGTTATTTGTATTTTATTTAAGAAAGGTTTGACAGTCTTGAAATCTCTAGGTCATAAATTCTATGATTTTATCATTGATAAGCTTTATTGTATTTTCTTTTACATTCAGATCTATCATCCACATGGAATTCATTTTCAGTATATGGTTTGAGGTTTCAGTATATGACTTTTTTTGCAAAGCCAATAGATTTAATAGTGCTAAAAATTCAGTCTTGCTTCTCTCTTAGTTTCTGTGAGCTAATTATGTAAGTGTGTTTCTGAACTCTCTATTGTTTTATTGTTCTATTTATCTATCATGTACCAATATTATCCTTTCAAACTTACTATAGCTTTCAGTGAATCTTGATATATTGAGGAACAATTCCCCCTCATACTTTGTTTTCTCTTTCTCTTTCTCTTTCTTCCTTTCCTTTTTTTCTTTTAGTGGCAGTGAAGGGTGAACCTAGGGCCTTCACACTGAGCTATATTCCCAACCCTTTTCTTAGTTCTTGAGATACATCTTACTATGTCACTAAATTGCATAAGCAGGACCCAATCTTGTGGGCCACCATGCCCAGCTAGTTTTTCTCCCTTTAAGAATGTCTACAAGGTTCTGGGCATGGAGGCCCATGCCAGTAATACCAGCACTCTGGGAGGATGAGGCAGGAGGACTGCAAATTTGAGTTCAGCCTGTGCAACACAGTAATTTAGTAAGATCTTGTTTCAAACAAAAATTTTAGAAAAAGGGCTGGGGATGTAGCTCAGCATGGGAGCCTTGAGTTCAATTTCCAGCACTATAAACAACAAAAACTACAGAGTGGGGTGTGGTAGTGCAAGCCTGTAATCCCAGCACTTGGGAGGCTGAGGCAAGAGGATCACCATGAGTGTGAGGCCAGCCTGGCTACATAGTGAGTTCAGGGCTAGCTTGAACTACAAAGGGAGTTCCAGCCTCAAAAAACAAAAACAAAAAACAAACACACAGAAAACCCAAAACAAAACAACAACAACAAAAATAACTACAAGGAACATTCTTGGTCTTTTGCATTTTCAGATAAGTTTTAGTTTCAGATAAGACTGCATTACAAAATTTGACAAGGTTTGACTGGAATTGCATTGGTTCTATGGATTACTACAATGCTTTCTTCTGTACTGGCTTTCTGCACATGCAGGATTTTCCCCCATGGCTGATGAACAATTCAACAAACCCGTAAAAGGTTAATTTCAGGAAATAGATCCTACAAAAACAACTTCACAGTTCCAGTTGCAGTGGTAAGGAGAACTGCTTGCGCATAACACCTTGGGAGCAACTTTTCTTTTCAGATGTTGAGGATCAAACCCAGGGCCTCACACATTCTAGGTAGGCACTCTACTACTGAGATACAACCCCAGCCCTGAGTATATTTTCTAGACCTAACTGGATCACAGACCAGTTAGACTTGGCACTGTGGGAAGAGCAGTGCTGTGCTCCGATTGGGTAATCCTGAATCACTTGCCACCAATCAAAATACAAAGAGTAGCCAGGCATGGTGGCATATGCCTGTAATGCCAGCACTTGGGAGGCTGAGGCAGGATGATTGCTGTGAGTTTGAGACCAGCCTGGGCTACACAGTGAGTTCCAGGTCAGTCTCAAAAACATAGTGAAATCCTTTCTCAAAAAAGCAAAACCAAACCAAAACAAAACAAAAACAAAGAGTAGGGGTGAGAAAGGAGTCAGAGTGCTGAAAAGTAAATATCCACAAGAAACCCACTGTCTGGTATTATATAGCGGATCAAATGCACATTCCCATATGCTTAGTGAGTTAAAATGAAGACTGGGAATGTCTGACAGTACTACAAGTCACCACATAAAAGTACAAGGGCTTGCATTTGTTTGATATGATCATATAAACAAAAAATGTAGGGCCAGGTATTTAGCTCAGTGATGCTGCCGCTTGCCTCACAAGCTCAAGGTCCCAAGTTCATTCCAATCCCTGGTACCAAAAAAACAAACAAACAAACAACCTGTAGCACTATATACTTTGTAGGTACATAATGCATGCAAAATCTGTTTCATTTGTGGGATCCACCAGTGATTTCTTTTGAAAAAAGGGTTCTGTTAATCACCAAGATGAAATGGGAGAGAGGACCTGGTCACTGAAAAGCTCCCTTTTAAGTAGGAAAGAACATGTAATTGCTAAACACAGGGAGAATATGAGGTCTTACAGGGACCCTGAGCACATCTCAGAACAATCCTGAGACAAAGCCACTTGGAACACTCTGAGATCAGTTGAAAATGATGTTTAAGCCAGGTGTAGTGGTGTATGTCTGTAAGCCTAGGAAGACGTCTCAAATAAAGGAAAAGAAAAGGATGTTCAAGTAACTCTTCTAAACTATATAGTTAATAGACAGTTAGAAACTGCTCCAGAAATTGCTTTGACGAAGACCTTGCCATGAGGAAAAAGAAATTCCTGTCTTTGTGGCATTTGGACAAGAAGACAGTTCAAGGAATGGGGTTGGAGGTGAGTTCCAATCTCTCCAAAGCCAGTTCTTTGGATGGTGTACCTGGTATATTTTGGAAAGCTTGTATTTTTTTTTTAACTCTTATGCAAATAAAACAAAGCAAATCAACCAACTGTATTAGTCAGATTTCCCATTGCTGGACACCTGACACCCATACTTAAAGGAGGGAAGGTTTAATCTGCTTGGGGGTTCAGTCTAAGATTGGCTGGGTGCAAGGTAGGGACATCACGGTGGAAGTGGCAAAGACACTTAGCTCATGGTTGCCAGGAGGTAGGCCAGTGGAAGAGAACCAGAGGGTAAGGGGTGAGAGACCAAACATAGACCCCAAGGCCATGCTTCCCCGACATACCCGGGAATACCTACCTACAAGTGTGCGCCATCAGTCTGAGGAGTGCATCCCAAAGCCAATCAAGTTGAAACCCCATCCTAAGTACCACACCAAGTTTTAGTGCATTTCATCTGATTAGAGAAGTTATGCATGGTCATTTCAATGCAGAAACTCTGAAAAAAAAAAAAAAACAACACTATCTTAAGCACTCACTGGTTCTGCTACCTAGAAGAGACACCAGTACTACTTTAGGAATTCTATTTCTTTCATGTTCTTTTTAACAGTTGAAATTATAGCTATATTGTTCTATATTTTTCATTTGGGGGAATATTCTATATTATTTAAAAATACTATTTGACATATACAAAAGTATTCCTATGTAATAATAATAACATAATAAATACTTGTGAACAGCCACCCAACTCAAGATCTAGAACATTCTAACACTCTTTTTAAAAACTATATTTTCCCAGGTGGTCCTCCCATATCACTTCTTAACACTCTTAGAGACAAGCACAATCTGAAATTTCTTATCTCATTACAAACGTGTCTACACGTAAATATTAGTCTTTGTTTTAAAAACTATTACACATTTTGAGTTCACACTATACTATATAATCTTCACTTTAATATTCTGTTACTTTCACTAATATCATGTTTCATCCATGTTGTTTATAGTGTAGTATACTAAGTTTTGTTTTGTTTTTTTACTGCACTGGCATGTTGCATTGTGCAGTATCTCATGATTTCTCTTGTGTGTTGTTATTGGTGATTTGGCTTGTTTCCCTTCTTTGTATTATGAAATTATGAACTGTGCTGTTATGAAGATTCCTTCACATTTTTCCTAATGCACACACACAAGAGTTTCTCTTGGGCAGTATCTAGGAGTGGGAATGCAAGATTTTACAATATGTAAAGATTCAGCTTTGCAGTGTAAATACTCTTATTTTCATGTAGCAATGCTCATTTATGTCATCAAAAATTCCTCTTTTGAGCCAGGCGTGGTGGTGCATGCCTGTAATCTCAGCACTCGGGAGGCTGAGGAAGGAGGATCGCTGTAAATTGGAGACCAGCCCGGGCTACATAGTGAATTCCAGGTCAGTCTCAACTACATAGTAAGACCCTGTCTCAAAAAAAAAAAAAAATCCTCTTTCTATAAAGGGAAAAAGCAAGGTAAAAGTATATAAAATGTCATTTAGATGCAAGATGCTACTATCTTTGTAGATATTTTCTGATCACAACAGGATCTGGACACATGACTAGCTTGAGGACAAGGCCACCATATATACTGTTAATCATTTTAGAGAGCCCCAATATGGTGGTGTGAGGTACTAAAAATAAAGCCTAGGGCTCAGGATGTGTTTAAGTGGTAAAGTGTATGCTTAGTATGCAAAAGGCCCTGGGTTCAATCCCTGGCATCAAAAGCAAAAATAAAGTAAAATAAAGATGGACAGTAGTTGTTATAGACTGAATGTTTTTGTTGTTGTTGTTGTTGTTATTATTATTATTATCATTATTATTATTTGGTATGGGGGGGTGGGATGAGGATTGAACTCAGCATCTTGTATTTTCAAGGCAGGCGTGGTGCCATTGAGCTAAATCCCTGACCCTAGGCTGAATGTTTCTGTCTCCCCAAAAACTTATATGTTGTGATTATAACCCCCCAAGGTGATGATATTAAAAGGCAGACCCTTTGGTAGGTTATTAGGTCTTGAAGTGGAGGCCTAACAAATAGAATCAGTGCCTTATGGAAGAGACACTGGAGAGTTCCCTCACCCTTTCTGCCATGTGAGATTAGCAAGAAAGTAGGTGTCTACAAACCAAGAAGCAGTCGCTCACCAGCCACTGAATTCACAAGCACTTTGATTAGAACTTCCCAGGTTCCAGGACTGTGAGAAAGAAATTTCTGCATATATGTCACCCAACTATGGTAGTTTGTTATAGGAGCCTGAACAGACTAAGATACTGTTAAAGTGCCAAAGTCAGAATTTTAATCAGTAATATACTATTACAACAGTAAAGGGAGTCCAGCATGAACTCAACTCTGATTTGTACCCAGGTCAATAGGCATTTTAAATGGAGAATTGGGGGCTGAGAAAAGGGTGAGTGGAGACTCTACACACTCAGGGAAGTCAAAAGTTACAAAAAGCAAGAAGGGGAGACGGTCCTTACTGAATCTGGCCTGCTCTCCCATTGAGACAGGGGAAAGGTCCAGTAAATTCCTCCCTCCCTCCCTTGCCCCTCTCTTTTTCTCTTTTCTTCTCTCTCTTCTCTCCTCCCTCTCTGTGCTAGGGATTGAACTCAGGGCCTTATGCATGCTAGGCAAGCATTCTACTACGCAGCTAAATCCCCGGCCCTTTTTATTTTGAGACAAAGTCTTGTTGAATTGCCTAGGTAGGCCTTGAACTTGTGATCCTTTGGCTTCATTCCCCTGAGAATGTGGGATCACAGGCTTGGGCCACTCCACCCATCTAGTAAATTATTTAGATAGCTGTTTTTTTGTTTTAGAGACAGGGTCTCACTATGTGGTTGAGACTGACCTGGAACTCACTATGTAGCCCAGGCTGGTCTCAAACTCACAGTGATCCTCCTGCCTCAGCCTCCCGAGTGCTGGGATTACAGGTGTGCACCACCATGCCAGCCTAGTTAGCTGAAGCAGGCATTTTAAGAAGGTTATGGGCATCCTGGGGATGTGCCCTTAAGTGGTTAGAAACTAAGTATTTTGTTCTTTTTTTTTTTTTCAGTACCAGGGATTGAACTCAAGAACTTGCACTTGTGAGGTGGGTGCATTGCCACTAAGCTAAATCCCCAGCCCTTAAGTATTTTGTTCTTTATAGGCCAAGGTTGAGGCCTAGTGGAGAAGACCCAGGGTTTGTTTACATTTTGGCGAAGGAAAGAATGTATGAGAGGTGAGAGAATGAGAGCAGTGAGTGTGGGAAGAGCAATATCTCTCTTTTCTTTTCCTTCTCTTTTTTTCTTCTCCCTGTCTCTGTTTCTCTCTCTCTCTCTCTCTTCTCTCCTCTCTCTTTCTCTCTCATATCTCTTTTTTCTGCTTACTTCATTCCCTAGATAAGGAAAAAAAATCTCCCTTTGGTCTAAGCCCCACTAGCCCTTAGGGTTTAGTTAAGGTTTCACTTCCTCCAGGAAGGCCTCTCTGACTTCTAACCTTTTAGACTGGGTTAAGTTCCCTTAGCAGCCTTGCGTAGTATTAAATAGTATTACAAATTGTGTTCTTGCACTCACATTGGTCATAAGGACTGGGCCTTACTCTTTTGTGGTATGTTGTGAGCACTCCACAACCTTAGTCCCGACATCTTTACGTGCTGACAAAGCTGTCCTCTCCTAGCCCCTCTGTCTTGCCTACATTCCATTCTCTACCCAGAGCGGGAGGAGGATCCTTAGCAAATATGAGTGAGCTCACAATAGGCTTTCCATTTACAAAAAGAATACCTTCCACTTTCTGACCACGGCCTAAAGGACTTGCCAAGTTTGGCCGTAGTTCATGGTGAGTTACATCACCTGTCCTCTCTCACTGACTTCCAGCCACGGTCTCTTCCTTCTGTTCTCCGAATGCCATCCTTATTTCTTCTCAGACTCCCCTCTTGGTCCCTCTGTATGAAATGCGCCACAGCCAGGAATTAGTAAATCCGGCCCTTTCTCAATCTTCAATTTCAGCTCGGCTCTCACCTTCTCAAAGAGGTCCCTATCCACCCAAACATTCTCCCATCACTCTGCTTTTTTCTTCATAGTCCTCTTTACAAACTGTAGTTATTTATTGTATTTTGTTTCTCCTTCAGCCAGGGAACTCCATGACCTCAGGAATCTCTTTTGTCGGACAACACCGTGTCCTCAGGACCGTGCTCAGTAAGGGGTAAGAAATCTCCTTAACGCATGGGACTGTGCAATCGCTCGCTTCCTAGCCAACTCTAACCAAGAAAATGGGGTGAGGGCGGTATCCTCAAGTTGCAAGGATTGACGACTCCGGCCCCGCCTCCTGCCCGCCTCCTGCTCCGCCCTTGTCCTTGTCCTTCCCCCGCTGGTCTCCATAAAGTTCATTTGGCGGCGCGGAGCGCGGGGACTACTGGGAGCGGCCCGCCTCGACCAATCAGGGAGCTCGGCGAGCGGCGCGAGAAGCGGCGGCCCAGTTCTGAAGCCGGTACCTGAGCAGAGGATAAGGCTCCAGGACCAGGTAAGCATGTCTGTTTCTGGTCACTGTCTTGTCTTTCAGATCTGGGACTTGTCCTTGGACTCGAGACCTCGAGGCGAGGCGGAGTTCGGGCCCCACACTGGGAGCCTTGCGGCTAACACTTCTGTTTCGCCTCATGGCAGCCGGGCACGCCTGACGCCGGCTGCAGAAGACGTTGTCCAGCCGCTCGCCTTACGGTGACGGGCAGCGTTTTCCTAGTGTAGTGTTTGTCAGTGCCGGATCTTGGCCTTCCGACTCCTCCCTCCCTAGCGTAGCGCAGTGCCGCGGCGCGCCACTCCCCTACCCCCACCTCACCGCCACCATCCGTAGTGAAAGAGCCTTGTTGCTTATCTGAGCATATTCTCAAGCCCCTCTCGTGTCTCGCCCTGTGTGGGCGAGCCGTTTACCCGCCGAGGGTGGGGGTCTTTGGGCTGAGGGAATACGACCCTGTGAGCCCGTCAGCCCTTTGCTTGTCTTCTGCACTAACATCCAAGGGGACGCTAACGGTTGGAACTCTAAAGGTTGGAGCTTTCTGGGAGCTCACTCTGCTTCCTGTCCTCTGCAAAGGCGAGGCTCAAATGTGTTTGGGTCCCTTTTAGCAAAACTGTAGGGTTGACCCCATTGTTCTTTGGTCAAAGTTTGAATGACTCAGTGCTCCCAATTTGCTCATCTGCTAGGTAGGAGAAGAAAGCTTTTTGCCAAGTTGTCTTTCCTGGAGGGCATGGCGTAATATATATTTTTTCCATTCACCAATGTGCGGCTTGGGGTTGTTTGGTTTTTACGTTTTAATTTTTTACTCTGGGTGATCTCATTGAGTTTTGGCAACCTAACATCCCGTATTTCCAGCTTCTGCCTCTTCTTGACCTTTTTCTAGCTGTGGACTTAATGTCTCCATCGAGATGGTGGATTTGGGACTAAAACGGAACATAGCACTAGCAAGCTCCCTTTCATCTCTTTACCCAATCTCCTCATACCATCATTGTTATTATTTTTTTCTCATCTTAGAAATATGAAAAAGCTTGGCCAATAACCTTTGAATCATCCTTCACTATTCCCTTTCTCAGTCCACATCCAGTGCTTTCTACCCTGAGCCAAGTCACCACCACCTACACCTGGATTATTGAAATAGTTTCCCATCTGTTCATCCTTGCTTCTACCCTGGCATAGCAGCAAAGCAATCTTTTTTTTTTTTTTTTTTTTTCCTGTTACCGGGGATCGAACACAGGACCTTGCGCTTGCTAGGAAGGCGTGGCACCACTGAGCTACATCCCTGGCCCTAAAGTAGTCTTTTAAAACACACATCAGCAGATCATATTCCCTCCTTTAAAAAAATCTCCCAGTGGTTCCCCATGTCAGTAACAGTGCACTATATGGGTTTATATAATCTGATTCGCTCTGTCTGTACCAGTCTCAGCTGCTGCTGTCCTCGTCTGCTGTCAGATATGCTTTGGTTTAGGGCTTTTGTGCTTGCAGTTCATTATCCATGTTGCTTGCTCTTTCACTTTCAGGTTTTGAGGGATCCTTTCCTCACTTCCTGCCTTCCTCCATTGCTTTAGTTCTTTGCACTTACGTTTTATTTATCTTGTGTATTGCTTGTTTTTCCCCTCTAAATGTGAGTGGATGCATTTTAAAAAATTTTATTCTGTGACATATGCGCAGCTCTTAGGCCTGGCAGAAGTAGTTGCTCAATAAATAGGAATGAGTGTTTTTGGCGCTGTTATAGGCTTGGAAATTCAGTATTGAATGAGACAGGCCTGTCCTCATTGAAGAGATGTTCCTATGGACGATACCAGAGCAGTAAACACACACATATAAAATGTGGTATCAGAGCTGTTTTAAAAGGACAATAGGGATATTGGGGTTTTAAATGTAATTTTTTAAACGTAATTTTTAGTTTATTGGTACATGTTTATAGTACCCTATGCTTTTCTCTTGCATTAACACATCTTAATTCTCCCCCACCCCCTTGGTCTTCCCTTTTGCAAAAGATCTACCTATTTTCTACTATCTGTCTTTTATTTTGCGCTTTACTTTTTTTTTTTTGGTACTAGGGATTGAACTCGGGTCCTTGTGCTTGCAAGGCAGGCCACTGAACCGCTGAGCTAAATCCCCGGCCCTGCTCTTTACATTTTAGGTTTCTCACGTAAGGGGAAGCAAGCAATGTTGAAGACTTTGTGTCTCATTTATTTTACTTAACAGTATGGTCTCAAGGTGCATCCATTTTTCCTACAAATGACTCAGGTTACCCCTTTATTGTAGAGTAGTTCTCCATTGTATATAAATACTAAATTTCCTTTATCTATTCATCATATAGGCTGCTTCCAAGATTTGTTGTTATTATAAACATAGGTATACACGTATCACTGTAATATAATGTCTTTAATTCAGGAAGATACCTAGAAAGAGAATAGCTGGGTCAATGGAATTTCTATTTTTAGTTTTTTGAGGAATCGCCATACTAATTTCCAAAGTGGTTATACCAGTTTACATTCCCATCAGTAATGTATAATATCCCCTTCTTGCCCCAAGCCTCGCCAGCATTTGTGTTTATTTGATTTCTTGATGATAGCCATTCTTTTTGGAGTAAGATGTAGTCTCAGTATGTTTTAATTTGCATTTCCCTCTGTGTGTGTGTGTGTGTGTGTGTGTGTGTGTGTGTGTGTGTGCTTGTGTGGTTTTTTTGAGACAGGGTCTTGCTATGTAGTTGAGGCTAGCCTTGAACTCAATATGTAGCCCAGGCTGGCCTCAAACTCAGTGAACCTCTTGCTCAGCCTCTAGAGTGCCTGGATTACAGGTTTGTGTTGCCATGCCTGGCTTCCTTTCTCTAATGGCCAGAGTTGTTGAGCATTTGTAAAATGTGTTTTTTGGCCATTTATACTTGTGCTAAAGGTCTGTCCATTTCAGTTGCCCATTTGTTTGTTTGTTTGTTTGTTTGTTTTTTAAGACAAGGTCTCTCACTATGTAGTTTCAAGCTGACCTTGAACTCATTATGTAGCTCAGGCTGGCCCCAAACTTGCAGTGATATGCCTCAGCCTTTTGGGTGTTGGGGTTACAGGCATGCACCACTAAGACTGGCTATAATTGAGTCTTTTATTTTAAGGGGTCTAATTTTTTAAAGTTCTTTATATACTATATGTTTTAGCTGTTAGTCCTCTGGAACAGTTG